GCATGAGTGTAAGTGCCCAAAATCTGACAGGGTAGCAGGCTGGAGGAAGGGAATTGTGGCATGACCTGACCCTGTGAAGATTATTACATACTTTTAATGCAGTAATTATTTTACTAAAAATATTTTTAGAACTTGGCAATTTGATGAGATACTTTATATGAAGAATAAACCAACCAGAATTCTAAGAAATATTTTCTAAAGGGAAAACTAATGCTAATACTTAGCCTACCAAATTTTAAATTACCTCATAAATAATTATGATAGTGTGTTAAATACACAGAACTGGGTCAATGAAACAACAGATTCAAAAATAGATGCAAACTATCACATTAACTTAATGAATGCCAAAGTTGAACCAATATTGGAATGGAGAAAGGACTCACAATTTAATGACTACTGCTGGGAAACTGCTATCAGTAAGGAAAAGCATCAGCTTACAGCCATACTTCCGACTACATCCTACAAAGAAGCCAGGATCATTACAGTTAAGCAAAAGAGCAAGGAGAAAAAGAAATGGCAGAGCTGGCCCATAACCTAGTGGTTAAGGGAATCTGATCCCACATGGCCAAATTGCAGTTCAAATCCTAGCCCCAGATGACTTGGAAAACATGCTCCAAACCCCAACAAGATGGAGAAGTAGAGGAAATGGGATCTCAGCATGACCACATCCCATCGTGGGGTGCTTTCTCCCTCTTTTTCTCATACTCTGGCAATTAAAAAAAGGAAGGAAGGAAGGAAGGAAGGAAGGAAGGAAGGAAGGAAGGAAGGAAAGAAATAGCATATTTATAATCCATATGGAAACAAAACAATTGAAAAAATGTACACATAAAAAAACTGGTAAAGTCCTTTATCTAAATTGTACAAATAATGTATTAATATGTATTTAGAGAATTTTAAATATTAAGGAGTTTTTTGAGTATATACTACAGATAAAGCATTGTCCTGGTTGTTATAGGAGATAAAAGGCTGAAATAGGCATGTATCTTGTCCTCAATGTATTTACATCCAGAGTAGAGATTACGACATAACACAATGTCAAAGCTTTAAGTGCTATAAGAGAGAATAAAATACAATGGCATGGAAGTTGGAGGAAGAAGGGACCTCTTGGAACCAGGCCAGCAAGGTTGAAGAAGAACATTGGGGATGTTATTGTGGACATGACTGCTCTTGAGCTGGCCGTAAAGGTGTTGTATTTGAGCAGAAACATGCAAAATGACACCAATTTACTCAGAAGCAATAGTATAAAGCATGATGTGGAGACAGGAAATTAAGGGTTACATGTGAGGGATGGTTGATAGTTGACTGTCACTAGAATATAGGGTGGCACTAAAAAGAATTATAAGAGTTACGGGACCAGCAATTAGTGTAATGGCTATGTCGCTGGACTCCCATGTAATTGACCGCGGTTCGAGTTCCGGACCCAGTGACTTAAACTCACGCTGGGCACGTGTGCGTGCGTATCCAAGATCCCGAGAGGAGAATGGAAGTGTTTGCGGCATGACCATCCCCCCCCCCCGGGGGGGTGATTTCTCGTTTTCTGTCTCACTGTCTCTGTCTTTCTGGCGAGCGCACGTGCCCTATAGCAAAAATCTCTAAGAAAAAGGAATTATAAGAGTTAATGTTGGAGGGGCCAACTGGTGCTGTGGGGAGGTAAGGCAGCTGGATCCCACATAGCCAGCTGTGCCAGTCCTGGACCTAGTAGTCTAAAAAATGCATAGCAGGCACATGTGCATGTGTGCCCAAAATCCCAAACAGAGGAAAAGATAGATAAGGGATTGTGGCATGAACTCTCTCTCTCTCTCTCTCTCTGTGTGTGTGTGTGTGTGTGTGTGTGTGTGTGTCTTCAGGTGAGTGCACTCACCTTCTGGCAAAAAAAAAAAAAAAAAAAA